TAAAAGTAGTGCAATTGATTACTGGCATAAGCTGGCTTGTGCAAGAAAAAGTAAAAAACAAATGTGTAACAAAAAATAATAACAAACAAAAGCTAAACCTAAAATCTAAATAAATTAAACTAAAGGTAACAGCTCCACCCTCCTCTTGTTACACCTAAGCTAAATCCTAATAACCTAGAACTAGTCCTCTGTGAAAGACATATAGATGCCGTTTGAACAGCACCTCACCAGCTCCCCGGACCTTGCAGGTAAAACCCAGACAGGTGAACACTGACCCTCAAATACGTCTTCATGGCGTTCCAGGCTCGGGGTAACGGAATACCCCCTCCCTGGGATTACCACAACCGCAGAAAGGAACAAATAATCAAAAAATGCCTGTCGATGGAGGGGTCTCACAGAGACCCAGCAGACAGTCATCTAAGCTTCACCAGGGAAAACTGCACAAGAGGACGAAAAACTCTAGAAAAACATAAAAGAAAAATAAGAGAACAAAGCATAAAATAAAAAAAAATTAATTAACCCCAAAACATCTAGAGAATTGCTAAATGTTTAAAAATCATGTACTCTCATATTTTATTCCCAGGAGGTGGAGCCAAAATTCAATCCAGGATATGAGGATATAAATGCGTAGCAAACGAACAGGTGGGGTAATTAGAAATTCACAATAATAAGCCAGTCAGAAATGCACAAATTGGTTCAGTATAGCAGATGGGACAAATCAAAGTTTCATGGAGGCGGAAAGAATGTAAAAACAGTGTGGTCAAAGCATCAGCACACTGTAAACTGTTCTGTTCACATTATGTCAAATAAAGGCAGGCTGTGTGTCATCAGGAAACACAACAGAACATTAGAATAACGCCTGCTAAAGGTGGAATGAGATGAAGCTAGAACGAACCCCCAGGATCCTCAGGAATGCCAGGTGGAAATGGCTTGCAGTAGGGGGCGCAGCAGCCCCTCGCCAGTCCAGGTGCAAATGGAACATCACCCCCCCACGTGAAACAGAATTGTCCCTGTGAAAAAGAGACTCACAACATAGAGAGAAAACAAAGTTAGAAATAAATCAAAACATTCTCAGACAGACATTYCCCGTGTGTGAAAACTGATAATGATTAATTAATCATTAAATTGTAGTTCCTAAGGAACAACAAAACTCACACACATCAGTTCTCCATTTTATCCTCATTTATAAATACAACCTTTGTTCTCTGAACAAAGCCTGGAGGAAAAACCAGATTTCACATCCTGTATACAAAACTGCACTCATTTCTGCTCTTATTAGCATTTATCCATATTTAGCAGTGTAACACAGTAATCTGGCTTCCAGGAACCTGCGGTTCGCAGGTTGTTCAAGTATGGAAGTAAATTAAAGTCCTGTTTGGGAGAACTAAAGACATTATCACCTCACACACAGGTCTGACACGCACCCCCCAAGCCCCAAGCTGGGTATCCCACGCCCTTCTGTCTCTCCAGGCGAGAAACAGCGAGCCCGAGCGAACCCGGGTTGGGGTGCTGAAACAGATTCCCACCAAGCACCCAGATAAATCTCGGCGAGAGATAAAAACCCTGTAAGTGGTTGGTAACCTGAAACAGCATGTAGATGTGGCAAAATGGAATGTTGTGAGTTAAGCCGGTGTACGAGACGCGTGCAGCGCAAACGCAGGGAGGAGGGTAGACCCCCCCAACCTCACTAGAGTGTTTTTAGACTGTTTGGCAATAACATGTGGGCAAAAGGGTCAGATCTGAAATACCCCACATGTGTAAACTAAAAACATCCGTACGTGAAACTGCAATTACGTGCTAGTGTTTTTATTGCAGACCCACGGTTACCGTATTTTAATTTTAGATTAAAGATTATGCAAACATTTCCTGTTATCAACACGTTTAACCAAAAGGAAATAAAAAATAACAGGTGCACCTTTAAATAGAAAAAAAAACACAAAGCTGTTTAAGTCTGTTGAGGCAGATTTCTTTAAAGTGTTGTTATAAGCTGGCATGGGGAAAAAAATAAAATAAAATAAAACTGCACAATTACAGACTAAACATTTCCCAGAATGTTACACAACTATTCCCTTTGAATGTGAACAGTATCCTTCTAAAACTGTTCAGTTGTGCTTTAAAATAAATTAAAAAAAACAAGCAGTTGACCATTCTGTCAGCACAGCAAGGTCAGTGGGAAACACAAAGATAACCAAATAATATCTAAGAATGATTATTGTTGTCAGCAAATCTTGTTCTGACTTTAATCATTCTATCTGCAGATGAGCATGAGATGTGACGCAAACCACTATCTGTAGATTAACAGAATATCATGAAAAACTAGGTCATTAAAGGATGTCACGAATCATTTGTTTAAAACATCCACTCATGAAGATCAAAAACATGCCAAAATTTAAAAACTTAAAAATCCAAGGTTAGACAAGGTATCTCAGACCAGTTCTGCCTCCCGTCGAATACTTGATGTAGCGCTTCGCCTATGTACCATCAGAATCTCATCTTTGATAGTGTTAACTTAATAACAAGTTATCAGGAAATGAACCTTAAGTAAAGCAAATTAGGACAAGACAGATCAAACAAAATGAATAAAAGAAAAACGACCAAACCGAAAGAAAAACCCCCTTGTCGCAGATATCAAAAAGGTTGTTTTTGTCAGATTTATAATAAAATAAAAGAAAAACTTTAAGTGGTTCACTTCTTAACAAAAAAAAATTCCCCCTATTCACTTATATTTTGCTTCTGGAGTGAATGAGTGTGTGGCGTGTACTCATCTTGATAAAGGAGGGTGCAAGGCTGGACAGTCTGTCCTCCGGCCCATCTGCACCCCCCCGGAACCCGGGATGAAGCATTTTTTTCTGGCAGCCAGCTGTACTGCGCCCCGCAGTCTGGGAGGGGGCCCCAGACAAGCCGAAGGGCAGAGGCCATCTCCTCATACAGAAAAACACAGAAACAAAAAGTGTTATAGGACCAAAAATTATGCCAAGGTAGTTCTGGTCAACATATTTTGTCAGGGTTCACAATTTCAGAGCAGTAATGGTTCTGCTTGACAAAAGAAAAGAAAAGCTTCATTCACAGAACATATAAAAACTTTTGTGTGTGTGTGTTTTCACTCATCTTTTCTCCATGAGGGTGTGTGCTAGCCGTCTGCCTCAAATCTGCTCTCCACTCCCCCCACCAGAAACCCCGGTCAGATGTGGTCATCACTTTTGTCCGCAGATGAATCCTGGAGTCCAGAATCTGTCCCATCGATCACAGG